TTTTTTTTTTTTTTTTTTTTTTTTTTTTTTTTTTTTTTTTTTTTTTTTTTTTTTTTTTTTTTTTTTTTTAATTTATTCTTTAATATTCATTTTTAACATTTAATTTTCATTTTTCATTTTCATTTTTTTTTCTAGGCGTGGAATTGCATTTCCTCACTATTTCTACACATTTCTCCATCAATATATTGATTCTGTGACTGATCCACTTAATCAATCTCGTCCTAGACGTTATTCTTCGAGTAATGCTGCAAAATCGGATTTATCACAATGTCACAACACAATTGTAAATACTGACGCTGATGATAAAATAGAAAGAATTTATCATGAATTCGATAAAATCGCATTTTTCTTAGGATTTTATGGTGGTGAAAATGGTGATGGAAATAATAATGAAGATCATGATAAAATAGGAGAAAGTTCTGGTGCCATAGAACGTAATAAATTTATATATTCTTTAAGAAATTTTAGATTTGTTTTTTATAAATAATCATATTCTTATTAATATATTGACAATATTAACAAATATTTTATTTATTTATTTATTTCATATAGCTGCTTCCCCTCATTCTACGACGGTAATGCATTAATGTTATCAATTATGTTTATATAATATATAATATGTCATAATGTATATATATATATATATATTAATATTTCAAGTGTCTTTTTCAAAATGGCTAGTCAGCTTTAACAGTTAATCTTCATATACCAAATTATGATCCTATAAAATTTAATAATAATAATCGAGGAAAGAAAAATTCTGGTATGTATTAATATAATTTTAAAAAAAAAATATATAATAAATAATATTAATAATAATAGTTTTAAATTTTAATAACAATTAAACTAATTATAATCTCATGTGTTAATGAAAGATGACGGGGCACTAATATTCCTATCTTTATTATGTGCAACCGTTCGTAATACCGCTTATCCTTCATCAAAACTTCATGCTTTGGACATGTTACTTGCAATTGGTCAGCATTTGGAAGATGAATTTAAATTGGATCGTTTAGTTCCTTATTTAATAGCATTATTAGATGATGAAGTTGGTTTGGTTAGAGCAAGTACTGTGAAAACTTTGGCAAACCTGGTAATATTTGGATAGTTAAAATGTTTTATTCGTTTTTAATTTTAATTATAAAATTTTATAAATTAATAATTTTATTAAAATTTTTTTTTTTTATTAATTATACTTTAAGCTCTCATTGGTAGAAACTATAACTCCATTTAATGCTACCATCTTTCCTGAGTATATAATGCCTAAATTACGCAAATTTGCTACTGACCCAGAAATCCTTGTAAGAATGACTTATGCTCAATGTATTACTACATTTGCCGAGACAGCTTTACGATTCCTTGAATTGGCTCAAGTATGTTTTGTTATTAAATATGTGAATTATTAATATGAATTATTAATATGAATTATTAATACGAATTATAATATTTGAATTATTATTAATATGAATTATTAATCATATTTACTAAAATTCGAAATTCAAAATTAGCTTTTTAAACAAGAAAACTCTTTACATTCCACAGATAATGACGCAGAGATAGAAGGATCATATGAGGTAAACGACAATAACAATAAACCCAAATGATGATGTATAATAATAATTAATAATTATCATAACGTGAATTGTACATAACTGTAGGCGTCACATGATTCGACCCTACATGAACTTCAATCAATTATACAAGAACAAGTAACGACACTTTTGATCGATAGTGAAAGTGCAGTAAAACGTGCTTTACTTTCAAATATTACTAGTCTTTGTATTTTCTTTGGACGACAAAAAGCAAATGATGTATTGTTAAGTCATATGATAACTTATTTGAATGATCGAGATTGGATGTTAAGGAGGTAAAAAGAAATTTATTATTATTATTATTATTATTAACTTTAAAATATTAAATATTAAAATATTATTATGAATAGCGCATTTTTCGAAAGCATAATTGGCGTTGGTACTTTTGTTGGGGGTCTAAGTTTGGAAGAATATATATTGCCTTTAATGATTCAGTCACTTTCCGGTATTTATGTTAAATTATTATTATTATTATTATCATCATCATCATTATTAGTCATAACTTTTTATTTAAATTAGATTCTGAAGAATTTGTCGTAGAAAAAGTTCTTAATTCTTTAACAAGTCTGGCTGAATTAGGATTATTCCAGAAATTGAGATTATGGGAATTGATTGCAATTGTAGCTTCATTAATGTGTCATCCTGGAATATGGATACGTTATGGTGGGCTAAATTATTAAAATTATTAAATTTATCTTTTTTAATCACATTTAATTTTGATCCAAGTAATACTTATTATTATGTATATTATTTACGAAAATTGTTATATAAAAAAGGTGCTATCGCATTCATTGCTTCTGCTGCGAAACTTTTACCAACAACTGATGTATGGTGTATTATTTACCCTATAATAAGACCATTTTTACAAGCTGATATTGCTGAAATCACCGAGATTCATCTATTAGAGAATGTTAAAGATCCGGTGATTATATTTATTTATATCTATATTTCTATTTATTTTTTTTGGGGGGGAGTATTTAATAATAATAATAATTTCCTTTTCATAGATTCCAAGAGTTGTATATGATGCGGCCGTCAGTTGGGCAGGAAAATCTAATAAAACATTATTTTGGAAACCAGCTAAAGAACGTAAAGCAAATAAAACTGCTTCAGCCACAGTATCCGGTAATGCTAGTATAACTAATTTATTATCACGAAGAACTTCGACGTTAGCCGTAAATGCTGATAAAATTGTTAAGTCGGAAGAGTAAGTTTTTTTTTATTTTTTCATAAATAAAAAAAAACAAATTTATTAATTATTTCAATTATTAATTTTTGTTTTTTTTTATTATTATTATTTCATTTACATTCAGAGATGAACAACATTTGGAAAAAATTAGAAAACTTGGGATGTCTCGTGAGGATGAGGAAAAAATTGCTGCAATGAGAGATTATGTTTACAAGTTATCGATTTCAAGACTTAAGTAAGTTATAATCTTTTGATAATTAAAAATTGTAGTTATTTAATAATAATGATAATAATAATAATAATAATAATTATAATTATTATTATTATTTTAAAGTACTCGCGCAAAAACTGATGAAAATCTCAAATTAGAGGTAAATTTGAATATAATTAAAATTATAAATAATATTAGGACAGGAGATATATCTATTTTATAAATACTGTCTAATCCTAAAAAATAACCCTAAATAGTCAATAAATTTAGAATTATACAATAATTAAAATTATTAATATAATATTAATTAATTATTATTAACAGGATGGAAATATGACGTTGAAAAATTTGGGAATAACTCCCCACAATGTATTTGTAATACCTACGAACGCCGAAGGAAATGCAATTGGTACTAATTACATTCTTCCAAAAACGGTTGGTAATTTTTAATAAATATTCGATTTTTGGATTTTTTGTACCTTACAAATTTAATTTTTTATTTTTTCAAATTATATTAATTACAGAATGTCGTCTGGACACCAAGGTAATTTATGTTATGAATCATTCATTTTTGATATTTTGATTAATTTATCAGTTATTTATTTTTATTATTATTATTATTATTTTTTTCGTTTTAGTAATTTATATCGTATTTCTAGTGCAAAAGGTAGCAAAGTTTCATTATCTGAGCCTTCATCAGCATCTCGTGTTTCTAGTGAAAGCAATTTACAAAATCTTCGAGCAGAAGATCAAGCTCGTTTAATATCTACTAGTTTAAGAGAAGCTCGAATTAATTTAGTTAACAAGCCATCATCATCTTCACTTTCATCATCTTCATCTACTATCAATAATACCAAAGATACAAAAGATAATGAAATAAAATCAACATCAACAACGACAACAACAACAACAACAGAAACACCAAAAACATTACCAAAATCACCAACGACAATTAATAGAAAACATGTTCCTGCACCAATTGCAATTAACGTTACAAACAAGTCAGCCATAGCTCCACCTTTTCGAGAAAGACATATGTCATTAGTTGGTAGATCAGCGGATAGTCCTAAAGCAGCACCCGCTACTAGTACAAATATAACAACAGTTGTAGGTACTATGGAAATACCTCTTCCTGCTGTTTCTTCTGCTCGAACACTTGAAACAAACACAAATGGTAAAACAATTATTAATAATGAATCTGAAATATCAAGAAGAAATCTTAGTGCATTCGTATCTAATACATATGGTTGGTATTTTATTTTAATTTTTTGATGATTTTGGAATTTTCAATTATTTTTTTTCAATGTTTTGCTTTATTATTAATTTTATCGTTTCTTTTCTTTGATTTAATTTGTTTGTTTATTTTAGAGGGTAACGATCGCAATATTAAAAACTTGTTGGATAATTTATATCTTGAGGCATTCCCCGAACCAATGCCAGGTAATAACGATAAGACCAAACTTCAATATTTTATTATATTATTGTAAAATAATATATTTATAATATATTATTATTTTATAGAATTTGGTCCAAAAGTTGCAAAAGCTGTGGTTCCACGTCCAGGACGTAACGCAAAAGGAGCGAACACGATTAAAACTATTTCTAATTGGAGACCTGAAGGTTTATATTCTTTTTATTTCTTATGTGTTCATTTAAGGTTCAACTAGTGTTCCCGATAATTATTCAATTGTAAATTATACTTAATATACTTATCGATATTCAATATATTAATAGGTACATTGGTTGCACATTTGACAGAGCACAAAGCAGCTGTCAATCAAATTTGTGTTTCTCCAGATCATAATTTCTTTGCAACTTGTTCGGATGATGGAACAATTAAAATATGGGATTGTTCAAGATTTGTAAAGAATTTCAATTGTCGATCAAGAATAACTTATAGTCAACAAGGTATGTAATTAATATTAACAATCAATCAATCAATCTATTTTATAATTAAAAAAAAATGTTCTTTTAAATATATATTTTTTTTTCACTATTATAAAATATATTTCTTTATATAGAGGGAAAAATTAAATGCATGACATTTATTGATAGTACGCATAGTATTGCAACCGCATCAGATAATGGAAGTATTCATGTATTCAGAATTGATTATTCAGCTGGAGTTAATTCACCAAAATATGGTAAACCTGTAATAGTACGAGAGACATATTTAGATAATGAATATGCAGTAGTAATGGAGCATTACGATACTGGTTTGGATTATTTCAAATTTTTTATTTTTTATTTTATTTATTCATTCAATATTTATTAATTAATTAATTAATTAATTTTAGGTACCGAATCAATTTTACTTTACGCAACATCTAAAGGTAATATATGTGGATTAGATTTACGATCGATGCAAGTGGTATGGAAATTTACCAATCCAAGAAGTCACGGAGTAATAACAGCCATGGTAACGGATAAAAAATATAGATGGTTACTTATTGGTACATCTCGGGGGATCCTCACACTTTGGGATCTTCGATTTGGAATTCAAATAAGATCCTGGGTTCATCATACAAAAAGTCGAATTATTAAACTTTTATTACATCCACAAGCTGGATCTAGTAAGCAAAAATGGTGGGTAATTGTTGCAGCAGGAAAGAATGAAGTATCAATTTGGGATATAGAAAAAATTGAATGTAAAGAAGTTTATACTATAAAAAATGGGGATGAAAAATTTGGAGGAATTTCTACGGATACTTTTAAGGTAAATAATTGTATATATTTTGATTTTTTGTTTAATTTTGTAAAAAAATATTATAACAAATCTATTAATAATAATATTAATTATATATTATAGGCAACTGACCCACCTGGATCAGGTGAAATACTAAGGAGTACATTTACAGCTCATGAAAGTAGTTTCTCGTCAGATAATTCAATTCGTGCAGTTCTTTATTCACCTGAATGTAATTATATGATTACCGGTGGATCTGATCGTAATATTAGATTTTGGGATAATAATCATATAGAAGATTCTTATATAATTGTTGATTCTGATATGGAAGAAAATAAACCTGTGTATAGGTAAAAATTTTTTTAATAAATGATTTTGATCTATCAAATAAAAAACACTAATAAATTTTTAATTTTATAGTACGACACAATTTGATGGGGTAAATATTCATTGTGAATCACGCCCTTCATATCGTAGTAATAATTCAAATTCGCCTTCTTCTTCACAAATAAATAATTATAATTCTAGTGGTGGTAGTGGTAGTAGTAGTAGTAATAGTAAAGGTAAACGTTCATCGACATCAAAACATGGTAAACAAATTAATGGTAAAAATCAATTAATTTTTACCCAACAACAACAATTACTTGTAAATCATTTAGATTGTATAACAGATTTAAAGATTACAGAAATACCTAATCCAATGTTAATTAGTGCAGATAGAGATGGGGTTGTTAAAATCTTCTTGTAATTAGATGTATACTTATTATGTATTATTATATATTCATATTTTTTCTTTTTTATAGCATTAATTTAAATAAATAAATAAATAGGATAAATAAAAATGAAAGTTATAAAATTTATGGAATTGTGATTTATTTATTTATTTATTAATTTATTAATTAATTTGTTTATATTTTATATTTGCATTTGAAAGTATGTGTGTAGATCTATACATGTTTAAATATTTGTTTTTTTTTTAAAAAAAAAAAAAAAAATCTAAAGGATAAATTTCTATACTGTATTTATCACCAAAGGTTATTCATTAATTTTAAACTAGCCTCATAACCTAAGAATGCACCTGCATTTGCTGGAAATGCTCTCAAAAACGCGGGTCCAATACCTTTAAATAATGCTTTAGGTCCTTCACTTCTGAGTGTCTTTCGTAAACAATCCATGAATCCACTATATGTACCAACTGGTGCAGATTGTATACGTGATTTAATTACATCTGGAGGAATTGCAATTGTCCACATTGCAACACCTGCCATACCTAAATAATAAAATAAAGGTTTAATAATTATTATTAATTAAGTTTAAGTAAATTCAAAATTAAATTATTTTTTGTAATAAAAGTTACCTCCTGCAAATAAAACTGATAAAGGATTCAAAGAATCAGGTGAAGCGCCAGGTGGAGTTAAAAGTCTTTTAGTAAATTCATAAGCCCAAAAATAAGCTGCCGAACCTGGCGCATCACGAATGAACGTTGCTCCTACTCCTCGATAAATACTACCTATACCACCTTCTTTATGTAATTTACGAATTACATCAATAGGTCCTTTATATTTGGTTGCTCCTTCACCTCCTTGTCCTTGAATTTGTAATAAAACTTTTATTCTTTCCACTGGTGACATAAATAATGTTGTTGGACCTGCCGAAATAAACCCTGCCACTGCATATTCGGTTAAACTAAGATCTTGTGATTTACGATTAGGCGTTGCGAAATATATAATCTTTTTACCAAGATTATAAGCCTATAATTAAAATAAAAAATAAAAAAATAATTTAATAATTAATAAAATAAAAGATAATTAAAAATTACCATATATTTCAATGTAGTCATAAAGAAAGAATATACATACCCAAAAACTCACTGCAAAAATTGGAGTAACACCTGCTAATGGAGGTCCCATTCCCCTATACAATCTATAAATGATAAGATTGAAGAATGTTATTAAATAAATTCTTTCATGTAATTAAAATTAATAAAATTAATAGAAAAATAATAATTAATAGTGAAATGTTTACCCAGTAAATCCATCTGTTGCAATTGCTTTTTTTGCGACATCAAGCATACCTTTATATTGACCACTTTCAGCTGTTTGTAAACGTACCTAAAATGTTATAAAATATAATTAGATGTAAAATTTTTTTTTTTTTTTTTTACTTATCTTTTTTGATGATGAAACATTACCTTGATCAAATCAAATGGATGCCCTTAAAGAATTGAAGAAATCAAAGAAATGGTTGATTAAAAATAAATTATATATATATAAATCAAATATCGATAACTCGATAACTCAAAAAATTATTCAATTAACTTTAATATTGAAAAATTCACCAACAAGCACACACGTCATCCCTCCAAACCCTCCAGCCAGAAAAGACTTTAAACCACTAACGCTTTTCTTCTGTTGTACTGGGTCAACTTTAACAGAAGTGGTGGTGGTGGTGGTGGTAGTAGTAACGGCTTGAGCACCTTCAGTTGCCATATTTTATAAAGTTGCTATTTGTACAAAAGTCGCTTAGTTTTTTTAGTTATTCTCTTAGTTATTCACTTAGTTTTTCACTTATTTTGTACTCTTGGTAAAATAATAACTTCAAAACGAAGCAATTAAAACAAAATGAGGTGCGATCTTTTATATTGTTTTTTTTTAGATGAGATAGATGATCAAATTTTTATTTTATTGGATGACTGCCTTCCTTTCTAAGCGATTATTGTAATCTAGTATAACATTTCAATCACAGATATACGCTATTCTCCTTTTACCAACTGTTGAGAGGTTGAGAGATTAAATTAAATACATTAAATGCTAAATTCTTGTACAGTAAAATGGACATTAGCGCAATTCGATTTCTTATCTATCCCGATTATATTTTAGCCTCTCGTCCAAAGGGTTATCACTTAATTATGGAAAAAAAAATTAAACAAATTGTATACAAGTTTAAATTATTCTTTTAACTAAAAATAATATTATAAATTAACTTTCTAAAACGAAATAATGTTATTTATACTTTTATTCCCTTTTCATAATCCAAACTTTATTCTCTATAAAGCTTGAATAAACAACTAGTACAAAGTATAATTATTTTGAAATAAAGAATAACGAAACTAATAACTCCTTTTCCACTTTCTAAAACTTGAATACTTACAATTTTGGATTCTTTCTTGACTTGCTTTATGAAGTTTCGCCTACAAATTAGTTACGTTTATCCATTTATGCGTGCGTTTAAAAATATAAAAATTAGAAAAAATAAAAAAGAATTCGTAAAAAAAAAAACTTTTTGATTCGGATCCGCGTAACATTTTGATCATAGAATTGCTACGAGCTAAGAAAACAAAAAAATTAACCACATGGTAATTTTGATAATATGCTTAAGTTATGCGTTTCCGGCTCCCGTTGCTACAATATAATGGTAGTGCAGAACAAAAAAAAAGAGAAATAAACCAAATAACTTGCTTTGTAAAATATGGCGAAGAGAGGATAAAGAAAAAATTTTTTAATATTACTATTATAAAGATAATTATCTCAATTATTTTTTTTAAATAAAGTAATATAATATAATTAGTATTCCCATTTCGAAGACTCAAATAAATCTGACCTGTTGCGACATCTAATATAAATTATTTATTATAATATTCGTAAAAAACTCGAGAACGATCGATCAGTCCGTTCATATTGTAAACTAACTTTATTTCATTGTTTCTGGACAAATTAATATGGTGTAAATCGATGATTTTAGATTTTGCAAATCCCCTTGATATTCAAAACTAAAGAGAAAATCTTCATTCCAAATTTAAAATAGCATTCAACACACTACCTTCCAAATTGGACAGTTCATGTAACTTTTAAAAACTTCCAAAATAAATAAAAAGAAAATGACACTTTGATTTATTTATATTAGGGAATTATTTATTTTTTTTTTTCGAAATATCAAAAAATGTTTACAAAATTTTCCACTTTTGTAATTAAACCTCAGCATTTAATTAATAATAAAAATTTAAATTTAAATTTTAAATTGATTTCAAATAATAAAATAGTTTCAAATTTGTTAATGTCAAGATGCTTTGGTATATCTAGTATTCAATATCAAATTCATAAATTTTCTTTCATCACATCATTATTAATTCTTGCACAAAAGAGACAAAAGAAGGATAAAATTGACATATTTAAAGTTTCCAGAATTCATTTGCAAAGATATTCAGAGGTAATAATATCTTTTTATTATAATTATTTTCATATAATTTTAATTATATGTTTTTTTTTAGGTATCAAATATTATACAAAAAATTCCTAAAATTTATACAACTGAATCTAAAGTAAAGATTGATTGGCAAGATAATCAGACAAGTAAATTGTAAATGCTTTCTTTTTATATTTTTTCTTTATTCATTATCATTTATTATTTATATTTATTGTTCATTATTCATTATTTACTTTTTCATTTTTTATTTTTAAAGTCATAATTTGTGGTTAAGGGATCATTGTAAATGTTCAGAATGTTATCATCAAATTACAAAACAAAGACTTTTAGATACATTTTCGGTATTTCCACATTTTAATTTTTACCTAATTTACTTTGAAGAAGAAAATGGTAATTTCCCTTTCTTTCTATAATATTTATGAAAAATATGTAAATTAGATTCCAGAAGATATCAAACCATTATCCATATCACCTGAATTTAATGGAGTTGAAATTATTTGTAAGTTTAATAATAATATTATTATTAATATCAATTTCATTAATTTATCAAATAAATTTACAATTGAATTATTATTAGGGAATGATAATGATGAGCACAAAAGTTTTTTTAAATGGAGTTGGTTAAGAAGACATTCTTATGATCCAAAATTCATTAATTCACAACAAATTTTAAATAAGTATGAATAGAAGAAATAATATTATTTTGTTTTTTATTTTTAAATTTAATATATTTATTTATTCATCTTTTGAATTTCAGTAAAAAAACTTTATGGAATGCTGCTAAAATTAAGGATAATCTACCAATTGTACAATACCATAAAGTAAAATCAATCATTATTTAAAAAAATAAATTATCTAGTAATCAAATCAAAATTTTATATTTTTAATTAATATTCTTTGTTATTTTATAGGTAATGCAAAACAAAGAAGATTTAGCAATTTGGTTAAAAAATATTGTATGTATATTTTAAAGAAACATTATTTTTTTATTACATCATTTAACCCTGTCTATAACCTCCTTTTTATATGACTTTATTTTTATAGTTACATTTCTCTATATTTACAATGTTCCTTTATTAGATCCAAAAAAAGTACATAATTATTAGAGGTTGATTATAAAATAAGCAATCTATAAGCAATATTTATGTAATATATTAAACTTAAGAATTATATTTTTTAATAATAGGATGAATTTGGATTTTGTTTTATAGACAATGTTCCCCCTACAATTAAAGAAACAGAAGAGTTAGCAAAGAGGATTTGTTTCATTCGGGAATCCCATTATGGTTTTTAAAATAATTTCTATTTTGCTTTCATAATTTTTTATTTTTAAAATTTAAAATTTAAAATTTAAAATTTCATTTTTATATAGGAAAATTTTGGGATTTTACTGCTAATATGGAACATGGAGATACTGCTTATACCACTTTAGCTCTAAAAGCTCATACCGATAACACATATTTCACAGATCCATCTGGGTAAGTTTACAATATATTATTATTATTATTATTATTATTATTATTATTATTATTATTATTATTATTATTATTATTATTATTATTCATATTTATTTATTTTTAATTTACATTTCCTTTGAATTAGCCTTCAAATGTTTCATTTAATTGAATTTGAAGGTGAAGGTGGTGAATCATTATTAGTAGATGGTTTTTGGATGGCTAATCAATTAAAAACAAAATATCCTAATTCTTATCAAACACTTTCAACAATTCCTATTCCTTCTCATTCAGCTGGTGATTCGAATGTATTAATTCAACCAACTCCTTTTGCTTATCCAATTCTTAATCTTGATCCCTTAACCAATACATTATATCAAATTCGTTATAATAATGATGATCGATCTACCATGAGTCATTTATCTTCTAATCAAATTTCCGAATTTTATGATGCATTAAGAAAATGGAATGAATTATTAAGTAATAAGGAAAATGAATTTTGGTTTCCATTATATCCCGGAAGAGTATTAATATTTGATAATTGGAGAATTTTACATGGGAGAGCAAGTTTTGTTGGACATCGAAGATTAATTGGGGCATATTTAAATTGGGATGATTACAGAAGCAAATTTAAAGTTTTAAATTTAAGCAATGAAGAAATATTGGAAAGTTTATAACAAATTTTTATTATTTAATCTATTAATTTATTCATTTATATAATTAAAATGTTCAATTACCATTCTATATAAAATTTTATTATAAAAAAAAAAAATTTTTTTAATGAATACACTAATAAAAAAAAAATTAAATTACAATATAAAATTCCCACTGCCCCCGTTTGTACCTTATTATCATAAGTAATAAATAACTTTAGAAGAATATATTTATAAATCACTATCTCTACTTTTCCCCAACTCTAAAAACGAGACTGAACCTCGTTTTTTATTCATCGGTGATCTCAAATTTCTATTTTCTTCAGGTGAATCATTATTATTGTTGTTTGTTAATTCTATTAAACTAGAAGCATTGTAAATTCTAATACTTTCTTCTTCAGCTTCTCTTCTTGCAATATATTTCAATACATCTTTTACTGTAATGAGACCAACCAATTTACCAGTATGTTCGATAAGTATAACTCGAGGACTAAAATGTACATCAAAAAAAATATACATATATATTAATATTTAAGAATGAATATTTAATAATAATAATAATAATAATAATAATAATAATAATAAATCAATATAATAACTATTATTATTTACCCCATTTTCTTAAACAAATCCATGACTGTTTCAAGTGGTAAACGTGGATTCACAGTTATTGGTGTCTTAAAAAATATATATAATTTTAAATGTAATAATTTGTCCCAGTACAAAAATTATAATAATATATCATAGATATAAAGTTTACCTGATCAATAAATGGAGCAAAATCTATAAAACTAGATGAACTTTCTTCATTACTATCATCAGAAAAAGAATTATCATCAGGGTTGAAAAAACAATGTGCCGCGCTAGAAACTCCACGAACTCTTTTCGCTTTGTCTATTTAAAATAATTTTTTAATAAAAATATAAATTAATGAATATATATATATATGCACGACATACACAACAAATATAGATTCTTAATAATAATAATTAACCAATTGCAAATTTTAATTCCGTGCGTCCAATATATCCTAATAAAGTCATACTTTTCTTATCAGTAACCACTGGAAATCCCTGGAAATTCGATTCCAATAATACTTGATCTTGAAGATACAGATACATTAAAATTAGATTAGTATTAGAAATCAAGGAAATCAATTAAAATAGTCAAAATTAAGTAAAGAATACAATTCATTTACCAATTTCATCTAATCTTAATCCTGAAGCAGTCATAACAGTAAGATCTTTTCTCATTACAGTGGCCACTAAAAATTGAATTTTAATTAATATCTTAATTATTTATAAGAATATTTACAACATTTATTTATATATAAAGAATATTAATAATATTTAATAATATTAATTACCTGGTACTCCAAATGTATATTCTTCCTTATCTAAAAATGGAAATCCATTCAAACGAATCATTTGGTCCGAAGTATATTTCAATTAAGAATAAATACATAAAAAATCTAATAATAATAATAACAATAATAATGAAAGTAAAATAAATTATGAAACAAGGATATATTCCACCCTTTCCAAAAAGATCTCCCACAGTCTTTGTAACCATCAAAGTTATCTGTGATCAATAAATATTGAAAAAATTAACTGTTAATATTTAATAAAATCAGAAAAATCTGCAAAATAAATTAATTAAACCTTTCTTACCATAGTTGGTAATATATATGTTAAAGCTCCTGTAAGTTCAAACATTATAACAACTACACAAACTACAAATAAAAATTATAACAAAAATTACAACATAAATATTTTTGTTATTATTTTCTTATAATTAATTTAATTTAACTTTGCGTAAGCTTTATTAAACATCATCAAAGATAAATTACCTGTTAAATGCATAATACCACTAATTTTTAAGAAAAGAAAATATTGAAATGAGATTTTATAAAATATAAAATTCAAAAAAGAAAGTAATGAATATAAGTACCTTAAAGCAGCAGCAGCACCTAAGAATGCATACATTCCAGGAGTAACACACTATTAAAAAATATATATATATATATTAAACATTTTGAAAAAGAAAGAAATCTGATTTAGAAAATATATATATACAATAATTTTTAACTTACAGACACATCTGGTTTACAACTTGAAAACATTGGAAAATCGGGGTACGCACTAAAAAATAATTATATATATAAAGGGAATTAAATGTTATATCTATAAAAAAAAATATTCATGAAAGTATTCACAAAAATATAGACTCACTCATGAAGAGACTTTGCACAGAGTCCAAGAAATCTCCCAAATGTAGCCCCTACAACCATTGATGGGATAAAAATTCCTGCAGGAACCTATATATATAATACATAAATATTAAATATATAAATATTAAATATATAATATAAGAATAAATTGATAAAAAATTATGCATGAAATAAAATATTTGTTATAAATACCTTTGCACCATAAGATATTATAACAAAACCAGTCCTAAGAATGGTTGCTGCTAATAATAAAAAAACCATCCTTACATATTGTGAACTTCCTGGATTTTCTGAATATCTAGAATTTACAATATATATATATATTTTTTATAAGCTATATGAATATTATGATTAAACAAATTAAAAGTAAAGTATGAAGTTTGTTGAAATAATTATTACTTGCATAAACTCTCATAATCATAAGTTTTCTTTCCTTCACATTCTTCAAAAAGAACTCCCAAAATTTCAGTCATATCCAATTTCATAAATATATTAAAATATCCAATTAATGCAGTGAAAAATGCAAGTGCTATGGCTTCATGTACTCCATAATCTTTTAAATATTTCTTTCGATAAGATTGAACTTTAAGATTATATTTTATCACTAATGCGCCATATAATCCCTATAAATCATAATTATAATAATAATAATAATTGGTAAAAGGTTAAAATAATAATAATTGATAAAAAAATATTAAAGGAAATTAATAATAAAAAATTTTTAATTTAAGATAAAAAATAATTACGCCGAATACTCCCAATATACAGAAAAATATTATTTCAAAAAAGTGCCATTCTCTATCATAAGTAACTTGAAACATTACAAGTTTTCCTGTTCGAAAAGGATTCATTCCCTTTAAAATTTAAAGTCAGTAATTCCAAATTATAATAAACAAATGTTAAAACAATGTAAGGAAAAATAAAAATAAAAATAATACCTGTAATACGACAGTAGCTACTAAAGCGCAAAAGAAGCTCCGCCACATAGTTTTCATTGGAAAATTGTAACTCATTTCCTGAATAATTTTTATTTACTTAATTTAATTTATTGATTTATTGCGAGAATAATAATAATAATAATAATAATAATGAATTTAAAAGAAACTATTTACTTCAAAAGAAAAAAGAACTCCTCCAATGGGAGAACCAAATGCGACGGCTACACCCGCTGCACATGAAGCGGAGAGAATTTCACGCATTTTTGCTGCAACATGAAAAATACATAAATATTCAAACGAATATTAAATATTGTTTAAAATCATTTAATTTGAATTCATAAAAATATATAAAAATGGGAACCTTTATTCCTCGTATATTTTCCGAATAATCTCGATACGACATTTCCTACACAAGCTGCCGTATGTACAGAGGGACCTTCCTTTCCTACACTTAATCCGGAAGCGATAGCTAACGGCTAAAAATAAACATTTATTTTCTCATTTAATTAATATCGGTTAATAAATAAATTAACAGATCGATTAACAAATAAAAATAAATAAATAAATTCACTTACCAAACAAACGCTTTTAAATAGCAATGTACGCCCTCCCAAGAAACCTTTCATCACAAATCCAGCCAAAATACATTTAATTTCTGAAATACCAGAACCTGCAGCATACGGAGCATAAGATCGTATCATATAGGCACATATTGTTGCAAATAAAGTCTATAATAAAAAAAAAAAATTTAAGAATTAAAAGAATTAAAAAGATATTATTATTTTATAAGAATAATAAATTAAAATTTTTTTTCATATAAAAACTTACCGAGAACACTACATAACAAAACCATCTTATTACATAATGACTTGACCAATCAATCCATTCTTCACAGGAACCATCTTTAAAATATTTAAAATATTTAAAAATATTTAATAATCCAAAATATATATATATATATTAAATAGATAATTATTATTATTTTTTTACCTTGTTCCTCAATCTCCCAACAACAAAATTTTTGGTTTAACCACCAAGAATTCTTACAATAACCAAATTTTATATCAGAAACCCATTCCGTTGTAATATCAATCAATGCTGCACTAAGACCAATAATTGCACCAACTATTGATACTACAATCCAGGCTTGACCTGCTTCATAAGATAACAATAACCAAGTACTCCATGAAGATCTATTTTCAATTGCTGCACTTCGCAGTGCATTCATTCTTGATCTTTCATGTATAGCATCTTGAACCCAATCTATAAATATAAAAAATGATCGAAAGAAATAATCGAAATAATCGAGATTTACAAAAAAAAAATTAGTAATAAATAAATAAAAAAAATAATTGATGATTTTAATTATGATAAACCTGATATTACACACCGATTGTAGTAAAATCTTCATATCTTTTTATTTCTTCTAAAGCTTTATCATATGGTTTAAAATTATTTTTTGAATTTAGAGCGTTTCGAGGAGTTATCGGTACACGAGATCCGGTACGGTTTTGTCTTGAGACATTACGTGGCTGCCGTATTGGCATATAAGAATTTTGAAAAGAATTCAAATAACTATCACAATGAATAAAATCATAAATATACGAAATTAATTAATTAATTAATAATAACAATAAAATTATAATAGAAAATAATGAATTAATAAAAATAATTTACTTTATTACTCTTGAATATAAACTTCCATTATCTCTTACTGCCATTCTATTCTCTATCTAAATAATGAAAATAATAAAACTGGTGATCCTGGCCAACACTATTGTGATATTATATTAACAAGTTTTATTTTCTGGATTAGGAAATGTATGCTCGTGTGACTAAAATATGTTTGTTATTTATTGTAAAAGGAAATAACAATCATAATTTAATTCTATATTATTCCTTGCCCAAATAATTACAATGGTGGTTATTTTTAAATGTCGATTACGTAGATTTTAAATTATGTTGGCGGATTAGTTTTATTGATTTTAAATAATTAATAAGATAATAAATATTTCTAACGATTATTTATTACATAAAAAAAAGGAAACAAAAAGTCATTAGAAGAAAGATAAAGTTGCATCTAAATTTTCCTAATTTTTTCACATTACCATTCTAAGTTTTTTTTTTTTTTTTTATCATAAAAATTTTAATACATTAACTATCTAATAAAGTAAGTATAATATTAAAGTATATTATTAGACCACTCCTCTTTTTCTCCTGAATTATACTGAAATGATGCAAAAAATCATTAAAATTGAGGAATATATATATTTTTCAACCTGTAATACTCACTTTTATTAATAGTTCAGATCCAATTCTTTCAGCATTGAATGCATTATGAATTTCTTCCCGTACGTTAAGCTTGCCAAGTTCTTTAACAGGAAATTTTGTTCGATTTTATCACGAATCTTTAAAACAAAACCAAAATTATTTTATTTTCATTATTTTTTTTTAGTACCATTATATACCCTATTAGAGATTCTCTTGGTCAACTTTAATTTCAATATAGATAACAATGCACATAACATTCTTCGATAATAAAGCTACCACAATAATGATTTTTGTTTTGCATTAAGAGGCACATGATTTTTTACAGCTTTAAATCCCGTGTTGATAAAGAAATTCTGTTAATGACAAGTGAAACGTGTATTAATAGTATTGAGATGAATTTGCATCTCTCATATAATCATAATAGTCGGGAGACACAGAGATTCTTCACATTTCTCTTGTTCAATGTAGATAACAATGCACATGATAAAAGAAGAATAAATTCCATTTTTTTGTGAATTTTAATAACTTTTATAACTTCTTAAACATAAAATGAAATACAAATAAATATTATTAATATGCGTTGGTTTTGATATTCGTAGTTAATCTTATGGTTAGAAAACTTTTTTGATTTTGCGCATAATAACTATTCTTTTTACTTGTAAACAATGTATTTTAAAAATTTTAAAATTTGGGGCTTGTTGGTTTTCTTCCAATTTCTCCTAATCTCTCTGTCATCTTTCCGTCAGAGATGAATTTAAGATTATGAAAAATGTAATTTTGGTTATTGGAGACAATGAAAATGACAAATGATAAAGGTTTATAACGATTGATTTTTTTTGAAGGCTTTTTTTATATTCTTATACGTACGAACAATATCCTAAATTTAAGCCAATGACAAATAATTAACAAATATTTTGATAATGATAAGCAAATGCTATTATGTCTAAACATCTTGATGAGCGAATCTTTAACTTATGGCAAAAATTCTATAAAAACCTATTTTCACTTTAGTTTTCACATCTTTTTTAAAAAAAATAATTTAATTTCTTTCAATATTACAAAAAATGAAATTCTCAGTAGTTGCCGTTTTTCTATCTTTATTTCTATCTTTATTGGCAGCAACATCGTTTACTGGTAATTTTTTATTATTAAATTTTTTTTCATCTTAGAAATCTTTTTAATTTATAATTTTGACTCTATAGATGCCAACCAAGAGAAACGTGATGCAAAACCTTATTACTACTATAAACGTGATGCCGAACCATACTACAAGAGACAAGATTTTAACAAGCGTTGCGGTTGGGTTTACGTCTGTGAGGGTAGTTATTGCAGTTGGACTTGGACGTGTTAATTTTGATATTCAATCTAAAGATCTGATTTCTAATGTAGATAAACATTATATACCTATGTACATAAAACCATGTAAATAAATAATAAGGATATATAATTTAAGGATCACGAATAACGTTACATGTATTTTTTAATGTTATTTTAATGTAACGAAAAAATTTTCTATTATTTTCTTCGATATCTTTAATAGAGATGAAATTATATATTGTATTTTAATTTACATAATTCATATTGATGCGTCAACTGATCGTTGTCCACATGGTTATATTCGACAAAAGAAAACTTGTACTGGAGTTGCATAGGAGTGAGAGTGTCGTACATTGATCTATATCGGGTATGAAAAATCTTGATCGAACCATGATGCATATGTAACCGAGCACGAAAAAAAATAACACATGATACAAGTTATGTATATATTAGCATTTCTAGCTTTACTAATTATTTATCGCAATAGATTTCACGAATTCGTGTGATACGGAGCTAGTGTCTCTGACACATATTTTTTAGCTAGATTCGGTAATGCATTTGTTGTATCTTTAGCAGTAATTATATCACTAATTGTTTCGGGTGATAAACATTTATATACGGAGAAAAAATAAGTTAAGGAACATTTTTTTATTTCGTGTTAATAATTGAGTGTTAATCTGACGTGAAGCCCCAAGGGAGCAAAACGATTTATCGTTATATGCATTGTAAATTATGATCCCGATTTCGGGTTTATATGCGAAAGTATTTTATTGTTAAAATGCGCAGATTAGATGACTAGAATTTTTATAAGTTTTTTTTTTTCGCTACTTAAATCGTAATAACCTGCATATGATAATAGAACGCATTGGAAATTTCATTAAATACAATGCAATTCAATGTTGAATTCCAAGTTACGACTACATCTAGGGTTTAGAAATTACATTAAGCACAATGTTGAAACCAATTTTCCAACCACATTTAAGGACTAGGTATTCATTCCAGTCCATTCTATAATAAACCGGAATGCTATTCACATCCTGCAAATGGATGGTATATGGGGCTCTGGTAGATACTTCAGGTGTTTGAGTTGCAGGTGTGGTAACTATCCCGGAATTTGGGTTCTGGGGAAAAGGATTGCCTGCAACTGGGATAGCGATTTCAACATATTCGATATTGATTAAGTTGTGTTGCTGAATTAAGTCAATTTTGATAACGCATGACTACGATCGGGATCTTTGTTATAGAAAACCTAAATGGGTCGGATCTGATAAGCAAGCTGTACATTTTTTTTTCAAAAAAATTTAATACAATTACCTCTATCCATACGTTTGAAGGTGGGCACAAGCTAGCAGTGGGTCTTGACCGTTGTACAAATGTTGGATCCCAAAACCAAATGCCAACGTCTGGTCGAAAATTATTACCTCCTACCACACATATTACATTAATCTCTGCACCCCAATTTGGATTATGAATCTCGGCTGAATTTGCTAGTCTGCGATGGATTCTTTCCTTGTTCATTCCGTCATACTATATGATATCGGTGAAATTAATAAATGGTATATATATCTGTGGTGTATAAATGAAACTTACTTTGATAAATAAGTCTTTTCCAATTATCTCAGCGTTATATCTTTCATGTATCGCTTCGCGGATATTGATATTATCCAAGTTATAGGCAGAAAGACTGACCTTGACGATATCTTCTTTTTTCTCCCACATTAATGATTCGTCAATATACGTAAAGATCTATTGTATTGTTTTTATTAGTCATACTTTCTGTCAATTACATTATCATAAACACTATTCAAATACCATGTTAATTTGGGAGGTTTGTCTAGTTTCCCGGGTCACCGTAGATGTTTCTGAACCTTCTAATTTGATGCTCATATTGAAAGATTGATTTGATTAATTCGATGGATTCAGGAAACAAGTGAAAGAGAAAAAAATAAAATTGTACGAATCACTTTTATACCCATATTTTTCTATTATCTGGCTATCACAGATTATTAGTCTATCTTTTTTTATCATTATACTGCAAATTTCGAGAACTTTATTACGGTCAATGTGCCTGAGTTTAAAAATTTTAATAAATAAACTAAGATCATGCAAAAAATAATTTTATATAAATTAATAAAGTAACGGGTTTTATATGCGGTGACATGTTAGCGTGACTGCTGTATTACGATTGTTAATATTGCTATTTAAATCATAATAATAACTGGCATCATCAGAAAATATTGCACTTAAAGTCTTCAAGTTTTCCTGGAAATGATGGTGAGGATTAGGATGAGAATATGAGTCCAATGTATTTTTACGCTGAAATATGAACCGTATATTAAAGTTAACAGATGCTAATAGATGAGGAAACGAGTTATATATTAAACACTTGTCTGCAATTTATATATTAAGTTTTAGATATTATGAGTTAATTATAGATCGAAAATTTTAGAAGCTTGATTAATGAAACTTTTAATTTTTTGTATTCTTTGAGGGATGACAATTTTGGGTTTTTCGTCATACCATACCTCAAGAAGAAAAATTCCGTTCTCTTGACACATGCATCTTTTTAGACGATCGCGATTTAACAATATCTTCGAGTTTTTTAACATCCTTATACCAGCCAGTGTTGTGGAATCGGTGCTGACTTCCTTGTACCTCCAATGCGATTCGATATTTTTGTAAGAAGGCATCAAATTCCAATCCATTCAAGAAGGGAGGGCGATACTCAATTATCGGTTCCTCATTAAGAATTTACTCAGCTATTTGAATGCATTTAGTCAGAAATTTGTGATTTTTCTTGTCAATCACAAGGTGACTAGATTCTGATTTCTTTGTAAATTCCTCTATAATTGGTTTTAATTTTGCATTCCTTGTCTCAAGCTCAAGAATTGTAGTCTTAATACGCTCAAAAAGTATTAGATACTGCAAACCAGTTTTTAATTTTGCTATATCAGCCTTATTTTTGACATATTCCTCTGTAATTCGTTTTAAAAGTTTAGCATTCTCAGCCTTAAGCTTTGTGTATTCTCCATGCTTAGCCTCAAGCTCGGCTTTCTCGGCCTTAAGTTCTGCATTCTTAGCCTTAAGCTCTGTATTCTTAGCCTTAAGCTCGGCTAGTGTGGCTTCCTTAGCTTTCTCTTCTAATAAATCCAATTTGGATTGCATTTTTAATAATAAAAGATGATTTATTTAATTTTTGAGCTAACTAGTATAAATATTCATGTGATGAAATTTTGCTTCTGGCCCGGAATGAAAAATGCCAAGAAAAAAAAATATATATATATGTGAACATGCACATTATATGAAAAAATAACACATGATACATTGTACTTTCCTCTAACCAGAAATCTTTATTAATAAAATATATATACGATAAATATACAGGATAAAAATATATGATAAAAATACAGGATATCAATCAAAGATAGGTCCATGCCAGAAATAAAAAAAACTACCGTAATATGCGGCACAAAAGACCCAGGGGATATTTTGTTCGGGGGAGGGTATTTTACTTAGTACAGTGCGCGACACTTAAAGACTTAAATCCCGTGATATATCCCGTTGGTGGGTCCAAACGGAAATAAGCTAAAATTTCAAATTTTGCATCATTTCCAAAAATCACATGACCCCTATAAATGGTACATCACGCGTTAAGCAGTTTAAAGCATAATTTAATGATAAATTTAAATTTAAATGACATTATTTGATTTTTATTTAATTTGAATAATGAAAATTTCAATTATTTTCTCTTTCTCAACTTTTTTCTTTTATAAATTCAATTAATTTGTCTTGCAGAATTTGCCTATGTGATTTAAATTTTTTACAAGCATATTTAGCCAATTTTCCTTTTAACCCCTCATGATACAATTGCATATATCTCCACGATTTTTGGATATACTTCCTAATTGTAGTAATGTCCGAGTATACATATAAACTGTACTGTACGAAAATTCTATCTTGTACTGTACGAATAAAAATTAGTGTGACTATATGATTTTTTTTGTGGCTGTACAGTTGATTAATTAATATCATGTGATATGTTTTCATACATAACACGAATTGATCA